CAGCAAACTTGCTGAGGGTGCACTCACTCTCTTTTTCCTGCTTCTTTGTTACTTCCATGCGTTCAGCCTATGCAACATGAGGCGGTACTTCTCCAAGCAGGGATCTATTAAACCACACAAATGTGATTCCTTCTTAGAAACCAGGCTACTTTCTACGTGGATCCTCTTGGGGAGGGGGAGGAGTAGGATGTCATAATGCAAATCAGGTCTGTCATAAAGTATGTATGTAAAATAGATTATTTAGGGCCACTGAAGCAATCTTAATTATGCTTTATCTGAGTTTTGCAATCATATCTCCCTTCTACACACACATGCCTACAGAAATCTCTGTATTAGAACATGTATTTTTTAAAGAAGCAGACAAATATCAAACAAGATTATAATCAGTGTCACCAATGCCTGTTCAGTTTGAATTTGGAACAGTTGGAGCCTGCGGAAATCCCTGTTGCTGGGAGTATCTGGTAGCAGCTGAGGTGTTGATAGCACATTGTGAGCTAGAACAAAGCAGTTCTTCAGCAAATTTCATGCTGTCAAAAGAACACAGGAGCTATATCTCTTAGCTTTATTCTGGACTTTAGAAAGGAGTATTCCTTAGAGAATACATGTTTTTCATGTAACTTGAATTGTCTTACACTTCTTTCCTTTAAATATGTCTTCTAATGAATTATTTTGGTTGCAATGCAAAATACAAATATAATTCTGTAAGTGCTTGGAAGTAATGATGTCTTTGAGCCTTACTTACAGTATTTCCTGTCGGGAATGATGCTTTGAAGGGATTCACTGAAATCTAAAGGACCCAGGGTTTCCTCTGTGTTTGATGGAAAGAAGCTCCTGCAGAGGGTGAATCTGAACCCCTCTCTATTGGCCGTGCAGTAAAATAAAATACCTGGTTCAGGATGTTAGCATAGATGCTCCTTGACAGTATCTATGCTTTAAAACTTGGGAACCGTGCTTTATTTTTCAGTAAGGTTGCTCCTTCTGCAAGAATCCAGTAATAATCTGTAAACAGTATTTTCAGCCAGCCCGTTTGCATCTGGGCAGCATCGGGTTGTGGGTACAATCCTCTTCTGTATTGCAGATATTTACATAAAGCTTATAACATTTTAATTTTCTTCTAATCTGTGATTTGAAAAGGATAGCAGGGTATTCTCAGGATTTATGTGTGTACTAAACGGCAGGCAGTTTCTCTGCTCTTTGTATGGATGCTGATTCCAGTGCTTGTCTCTCCTTTGGAAGTCAGATGCTCTTCTCTTTTGCTTAATGGTGTATTTTGTTTAAAAGACTTCATGGATTCTTGATAAGTAACTACAAGTCAGGGTTTGGATCCCCTTCTCCTTCCCCTGCCAAAATTAATCCTTTTTCTTTTGTGTGTCTTTTTCCCCCACCTCCTTGCTTAATTATTCTTTGTGGGTTCCTTACCTTTAGCTCAGGACTTTGGTCATTCACTAGACCTTTTTTTTTTTTTTTTTGGTGCATATTTTCAAGATCTCCTTTATAATGTGAGGAATAAGAAAACTTCAAATTGATACAGCAAGTAGCATGTCTTGTTTCTTGAGGCATTTTATTGTCGTTTATGCTCCTTTCCAAGTTGGCAACAGTTGTAGAAAGAGTGACACCGTGTGTTAAGGTGAAGAATTCCACTTTTCTTGATTTATTTCCCTTTTATTCTTCAGCGCTCTTATCTTTTATGGTGTTTTTATTTTGTCATCCATCGAATATTAAGATTTTCTGTATGCTTGCTTTGTCTTTTTTTTTTTTTTTATTTTCCATGTATACATATGTGGAAAATTTCCATGTATACATCTTACAGCTCCCTGGTTTATAGCTAAATGTCCTTCAGGAGAAGTTGTAGTATTTTTAAGCAGTTTATTTTACTGATAAATTCGTGTTTAGATTTTTGTTCAATAATTTAAGGAATGCATGTCTGGAAAAAAGAGTTGGTGAACGTGACTGGAAACCCAGAGGGGTCTCCACAGGAAAAACAAATGAAAGTATAGTACTGTGAAGATGCTGATTATGAGGATCTCTGGGAGACGTGGTGTAGTGCAAGGAATAGAAAGTGTGTCCCTATTTCTGGGAAAAAGAGGTAAATGGCAAATACATGAAAGGTGAAACTGAGAAGTGGGATTTCATGGGGAAAGGAGAAGGAGGTACTTTAGACCAATGTGTAGAACGCACTGTAGTCAAGGACATAAAAATATTTAAAAGCAATAGAGGCTGGCTTGTTTAGTAACAGTAATGTATTCTTTCTTTGCCTCCCCTCTGTGTTTGTTTGTTTAGGTTGAGTTTTCCTATCCTCCCCTAAAGCCTGGAAAAGGACATGACAGCCACAGTTTACCAGAGGAATGGAAGTACTTGCCATTTCTTGCCTTACCAGACGGCGCTCACAACTATCAGGAAGGTAAGAAACAAAAGAGGAAGTTCTATGTACTACTTCTACAAACAAAAGAAAAATCCTGATATCTGATCAATGATTCTTTTCACTATTAGACTTCCTGTACTTTTTGTTTAGGCTGCAAAATACATTGGCAATATGTTGCTTCAGAGTTTAAAGTGAAAGTAGATCATAAAGGTGTACCTCCTACATCAAGAAATCAGATGTCAATAAAAGCTTAAGGGTTACTCATCACTTGTGTGTAGTCCTAGCACAAAACAAGGCTACCGGCTTTCTCAGAAGTTCTTTGAAGGGGTAATAAACTCTTGAGTAAAACCTAATATGGTTTTGAGGTAGGGGAAGAATGAAATTCTAAAATTCAGCTTTGTAATGTATGTAGTAAATTTTTTTTTCCCTCCACTAATTTAGAGATTCTTAGAATGACCTACAAGTCATTTGGTGTCTGTAGAATGACATATTTTGAAAATCAGCAAAAGTAAAGGGTAGGAACAGGGGCTTTAGTGTATTTGTCAGCAGAGTGAAGATAGAATGATTCCTTTGCCATGTAGTTATCACCACGTTCACTGCAGATTTGTTTTTTTTTAATTTAGTATTGCATTTATTTCTTTTTTTTTTTTTGACAGCAATTCAGTTTAATTGCTGTGACGTTTATATACATATTCAGTTATTTCATCTTTTTCTCTGCAGAGCAGTGAACAAGGAAGTCACTTAAAAGAGCAAAATCATAGAAACCCTTTTAATACTACTTTTAATAAGATTTTTTTTTTTAAACTTGGTGTACTTAGCTTCCAGAGACCTCATTTGGAGGAAAAGGAAGTCATATCAAAATAATCCCTTTCCTAGCAGCAGTAAGAGTCTCTCTGACTCTGCTCTGAGTCATGATTTTTTGTTCAATTTCTGCATTTTTAAATACATAACAAGAAGTAGGCTACATTCAAAGCTAGGAAAATCATATGCAGCATCACTTACCTGTTCTCTCTTGGCTCGGTACCATCCCAGTTAATGCTCGACTTTGAGCATTTTTATTGCTGCACTAGAAGATTATCAATGTGTATTTTTTGGTAAGAAAAAAGAAGAGATTTGGCAACAAAACTGATATATATCCTTGTGTTTTGTAGGCAACAATATACATTAACTTGAAATAGGCAAATATGTTTCAGATAATAATTATTATTACATTTACTGGTACTTATTAGACATCTATATTTTGAGTTTTAAAGTAATTCCTGCTAGCTGCATTTTTGCGAAGAGGATGACTTGATACAGGAAATAGTCTTAAAGGCTTTCTAAAACCCTAGGTGGTCTCCATAATATAATTAAACTTGTTCAAGGGAGTAAGCTTTATTACAGTCTCTCTTTCTGTTGGACCTAATGCATATGGGATTGTCTCTTCTGTTCATTTTGTTACTATGAAGCAAACAAAAAATTAATATTTGGTTTCAAAATGTTTTGCAAGGCAAGCAGTCGGAATGTCCTCTCCTTTACTTAGGATTTAGCAATGTTTTTGCAACAGCAGCATGCCTGCAGGTTTCAGTGGTGCTTCTCTGATGTCAGTAGCTGCTTCTGAGAACCTGTCAGTGGGCTTACAGGAGCCTGGTCAGGCTGAACACGAGGCTGTTGTCAGAATATCCATATTAGCACAGCTGGAGTTTCTTCCATAAAGCATCTTGCAATTTGGAAACTAATTTGGATGCAGGGATAGCTTTATAGATTACTTTTTTAAAAAAAAAAAAACTCTGAGAAAATAAGTATGCCAGTATTGTCAGCAGTAAACCTTTTATAAATAAGTGATGCTGGAAATAAAAATACCAAACTCTTGCTAGTGACTTATGAAACGGTCTTTTCTTTTTCATAGATACGGTGTTTTTCCATTTGCCACCGAGATGCGGGGACCAAACCACAGTATATGGTGTCTCTTGCTATAGGCAGATTGAAGCGAAGGTAACTTTCCAAGTTGTGGATGGTATTAATGAAATAATAGGCTTGATGGATTAATGACCCTAAAATTCAGTGGCTTGCATTACACCAACAGACAAACTGCATGATCAGCTTACATTAAAAATCTGTTAAAATGTGTGCAGTAGGTAGCTATAGAAAGTGAGAACTGTTTCTTTCCCTTACGTCAGCAGGCATATTGTGATATTTCTAAATGTTCAAGGCAATTGAAAAACATGGCTTGGTTCTTGAGAGCTAATCCAGGCGTCAGCAAGAAGTAGCAAAATGAAGCTGACAGTCTGTCAGGCGGACAAGTCATGTTTCAGGGAAGTAGGCCTCTTGGGAGGAAAAAGCTAAAATTTCTCTAGTGTGTGACCATTGAAGAATTTTAGAGTATTTCCTAGGATCTGACCATGCAAGTGTAGGGATGTTTCTCTTCACCTATCTCCTTTGCCAAAAGTGCACTTTCAGAGTAGACCAGAATCTTCCCATTCATTGTAGCTGCTTACCCATACTGAGCTTTTACAGTAAAGCTGAAAAACTGATGAGAGCTACAGTGTGCACCTGATCACATGGAGGAAATAGGTACTTGATGAACTAGAATCTGCCCATATTTTCAAAAGTAGTAACAGTAGTATGATCTGTGGAATTGAGAAGTTATTAGAAATTTCTAAAAAAAAAAAAAAAACTCCCTTTTCCAGTGAAATGCCAGGAATCTAGAATGCCATGTGGGCTTGAGCTTCAAAGGAGTCTTGTATTCTGAAGATGTCAGTTATGTACTCATTGTTAATCATACCTTGATTATGATTCAAGTTCCTGTTTATGCTATAGGAGAAATTTTACACATGCAGATTTTAATTCCATTTCTTTTGAACTAAATCCATGTTGATTTTAGTTCACTCATTATCTCCGCAGCCAGTCTTCACTGTATTCTGTGATTTAGAGTCTTGCTTTATTTAACTATGGAATAACTTGGCTTTATTGTCCTCTTGATTCCAGTTTTTACTGTTTAGTAACCAATTAAGAAGATAAATAGATGTTTAAAATCAACTCTTTGGAACAAGTAGAATATAAAACAATGTCTTTGATATGACAGCTCTAGCACTCTTGCCATCTGTCCTTTTTGATGTGTGGGCTGTAGTCCGCACACTTGCTGTTTTGTACAATTAAGTGAATCAGTTGGCTGTATTTATGCCCCTACCCTTTCTAGGTCTGCTGTCAAGTGCTGGGACTGTTTGGTCTGGCTGCGAATGTAGTTGATTCCGCAGATGATACCTCTTTTATTTTATGAGTGGCTCAAAGAAAATCTTTGAATATAAAGCAAACAATTTCTAGCCAAAGATTTTTCAACCTGGTCCGTTTTCACAGATAATGTTAGAGAAGAATGAGTGATGTGTTGTGGCTTCTCTTCTGTTAGATTACCCTGAGTTAAAATGCAATTGCCTTCTCCAGGCTATTGCCTTTATCTCATGCTTGTGCCTTTTAAACAGTCCTCTGCCTATCATCACGGCTGTATTTGGATCTTTGCTGTGCACAGTGAGGTGCGAGCACAACTCTCACGTGTCAGTGTTATGACCTTGTTTACTAAGTAAGGGCATCCTGTTGCATGGTTTGGATATTCCACCGTTGAAGGCAGTCAGTTTTAGGATTTTGTTTAAATAGGGGGGTGGTATGTGGTAACTAGATCTGTGAAAGAATTCTTTTTGAAATTGTGTGTGGGTAAGAATACTGTAATACTTCTATTTCCTAGGCATTAAAAGTACGGCAAGCAGACATCACCCGAGAAACAGTACAGAAAAGTGTGTGTGTTCTCAGTCAGCTGGTAAGAATGTTTATTTAACTCCCAAAATAACATATTAAAATTATTTAGTTCATATTCTTATTTGGAACTGTTGGCTCCAAACCTCTCTCTCTAAATCATTGCAGAGGGTAACAAAATACTGAAGTAAAATTGAATTGGAAGGCTATGGCATATTTGGCTGCCTTGAATGGGTATTTCCTTGTAAGAGTAATTCTAAAGGTGTCTGCCTGTTGTCGGAGACTGGGATCTCTATTTGTACTTTTGATTATTCTTAAATGCTGCTAACTTTATTTCATGTAGTTTATTTCATGGAGGGGTTTGGCCATTATAATAACTGGAGAGAGTGGCTATTGAAAACTATGAAAGAGATTTGAGGATAGTCACGCATACAGCATACTTTTGTTTTGAAGAAACATCTTGTGTTTCTACATATTCAGGAAAAGCTACTGCTCACCAGGCAGGGAACAGAAATTCTTTCTGTGCTTAAAGCTGAAGAAAGAACTGTAACTGGAGCTGCATGAGCAGGAAAGTACTTTTCTAGAAAGATGTCCAGTGATGGTATGGTATGTGCAAATGGAAAGAAAAGAGAATTATCAGAATTATGAGCACAGGAGAAAGATTCTGCAAGTTAGCAAGTAAGGACTGCCCCTCCATGAACTCTGTGTAATAATGTGTCTATAATGCAAGATAAGAATGGGAGAAGATTAAAGTTCAAAATGAGTGACTAAGTAAGTTTTCTTCACTTGCTTTTGTGTTTTTCTTCCAAGCCTTTGTACGGGTTACTTCAGGCGAAGCTGCAACTCATTACACATGCGTATTTTGAAGAAAAAGACTTCTCGCAAATTTCAATTCTAAAGGTAACTTTTAAGTAGTAGCCACACAGAAGAAAGCATTCAGTGTATGGCTATGGATTTTAGTGGTTTTAATTAGTGCTCAAATATTCCATTTGCATAGGTCATTTAGTTATTCAGCTCTTGTAATAACTTAACGTGAACTAAATGAACTACCATAATCTGACAGAGGGTCAACTTTCTGATTTGTAATAAAATAGAAGAATGAGCATGATTGTCAGCCTGTATCTCCATTGACTCCATTAGTAAAATTTTACTTTCTTTCTGGAATAAAACATTGAAATACTTGCATAAGTAGATTTTATATAGTGTGGATTATGTGTGGCCATGTGCCATTAACAGCTTCTGGGGTTTTTTTGCCTTTGTGTTCTAACTTTTACAGGAACTTTATGATCATATCAATAGTTCCTTGGGCAATACTTTGCTAGAAGGGTCACAAGTTTATCTTGGTAAGTGACTTTTTGTATGAGCAGCAGAGATAATGTTACTCTAATCAACATATTCCCTTCCTGAGCTAATTTGTTTACATGCGTTAGCAGATTAAGCACCAGCGGTCTGTGTGCCTGCACAGTATTCTGTTATGCATTTCTTTCTTAGTGGATTGAAATGAATGTCAAATAAATGTAGTGTTGCTTTCATAATAGGAGTTAGTTGTAGGTTGAAAGCCATGTTACCTCTTGACCTAACGGTCTGGGAAGGAACTGCTTGGCTGCTTTTGGGAAACAGTACCTTCTTAACTTTTAGAGGGAACAGTTTGATGGTGTGGGGTGCTCAAGTTTTCATCTACTTGTTATTTTAGATCGCTAGCTCTCATTTGATTCTGACTCTTCCCTGTGTTTTCTGAATGCACGGTGTAGTATTTACTTCAGGGTTTCCATAATGCTGTGTGGCAGCCAACAAGCGCAACTCCGAGCATGACTATTCATGTTATTACTGTCTCCATTGTAGATTTAACTCTTGTTCCTGCTCAAAAGCAATAGTTTTATATGAGTTTGGCTCTTGAAATAACCAGCTTCACATAGAATGCATAATAGGTGTCCCCCTCCCCCTGAAAAATTTTGACAAGAAGTAAGTTAGTGTCTCTGCTCACTGTTAAACTGTAATAATTGCTCTTTTTTTGGTATCTCAGGTCTGTCTCCTCGGGATCTTGTTCTTCACTTTAGACACAAGGTAGGCGTTATCTGCTAGATAGATGAAGTACAGCACTTACTTTGTGGAGTAAAACACTTTGTGAGGAACGGAAGAATATACATGTCCAGACATACCTGAGCTAGGAGTAAGAAGACTGTTTCCTAAGTACTTCTGGGTACAGCCTCCTGATTTCCCTTCCCCTTCTGCCTACATAACTTCAGTGAAAGTTAAGTTCCAGACTGAAAAGTTTTGTCTGTCTGCTGGATTCCCTGGAGATTTCTAGGTTTATGTGATGTTTCTTTAGTCCTGTACCAAAGTGCAAGTAGTATCTTAGTTATGGTCTTCTTTCTATTTCCTGCTTCTCATCAGATGAATGGGATAGAAGAATATTGCTAACATCTGTGCAGACACAACTTGGAACATTTTTCCCTGTAATTTTTGCGGCTTTTGCTGTCATAGAACCTGAGGGGACTTGCACCTCTCCTCCTTTTTCCTAATGACTATCGAAATGGAGCGTGTATCCTATAGCTAAGGTACAAATAGCATTTAGAATCTTTTATTAACTGAGAGGTGTCAAGGAAATTAGAGAATCTGGATTTCATGGTGTATTTGTGCCTGATCAGTAGATTTTTGGGTTAGAACTCATTTTTGTTTAACTTCAGATGTCTGCCAGTTACGCCCCAGAAGTGTCAGTGGTTTTCCTCCAGTGTAGACAGTCTGGACAGACAGTTCTTATCTAGATGCCTCATCTGTAGGTGCCTAAATTTAGGCGAGGTGAATGCTGCTTGGTATTTCTGTGGAGGAGCTCTTTTCTGTGTTTGCAGTGTACTGGTTTTTAAAATTCTGTAATTACACAACGTGTTCCTTCTGACAAGCTTTGTGTGACTCAAATTGCACAATTCTTGTTTGTGCAGGCTTTTCTTTGTGCATCTCAAGTGCTATTTTAAAATGAGAGCTCAGATGGAGAAAGGGTGTTGGAACACTGGTTTTCACTGGTCAAATGTGTTTGGTCATTTGTCAGTCATGCAGTGATTAACATGACATCTTGACTAACAGATTATGCTTGCGCAGTATTTTTGATGAATGGCACTGGTTCACTCACCATGTTTTTTCCCTTTTGTGTTTTTTCAGGTCTTGATCCTTTTTAAATTGATTCTTCTAGAGAAAAAGGTAATGTTTTGTAGGCTGGGGGAAGTAATTTAAATAGAAATGCAAGTGTTACATTTTTTTTATATGAAGTTATGTAGAATATACTAGTGAAAAACAAATTTAAGTAAAATCAAGTAAAATATGAAGTCATATCAACAACTTTGCATCCATATATAAATTGGGAAATTATGCTAAAATTAACTGCTGTGTGCCTCCACTTCTGTTCTGTCCACACTCTGCCTTATTAGTAGCTGTCCCAGCCAGAGTAAGTAAAATGTGATTTAAGGTGAGTGGAGAAGCTTCACGTATTATAAAAGATAGGAAAGGATACACATAATGCATATAGGTACCTGTGTGAAGGAGCCAACAGGAAATGCCTATATACCTTAAAGGGAGCGTACAGCTTTATCAGGGATCCAGCAAGTAGAACTTCTGGTTTGGGCTTTAAATAGGCATACCAAAGGAACGAGTGCTAGAAGTGTCCTTCAGACCCGAATTGCGTGGATGCCTGCAGGAGACAATGTAAAAAGCCATATCTGTTAGGTCAGGCTGAACTCAGATTATGAATTGGTAAAAACTGTTGAATTCTAGGCTCAGTGTTTTCTTTGGGCTATCTTGCTGCCTCAGAAGCAATGCTATCTTAGTAATTTAAGAGGAACATGCAAAATGTACAAACAGATTTGAAATAAAAACATTTGTTTGCTTCTGTGTATATGTGAGTACCTTGGAACAAGATCTTTCAGTGAAATTACTATGTATCAGCTTTTTTGTTTAAAGTTTAGTTTCAGTTTCCCAAATGTCACTTTTTCTTGAGTGAACCTGCTGTGTTAAAACCCAGGTTCTTCAGAGTGCTGAGAAGGAACATTAGAATTTCCTGTTAGCTGCAGCTGGAAAGTCAGTAGGACTTAATCTAGAAGATATTGAAACAGTTGTGGGTTTTTATAAAAGTCTATATACAAGGCCTAGGTATCTTTTGTAACACAGTAAATATGACTTTTAGAAAGTAGAAGCAGCAGCTTCACCAAGACTTTTGCACTTGTCAATTATGTGTTAGATAGACATTGACAGTTTGAAGTATTTATTGAAGAGAACAAATGGCAGTTTGTGCATTAAAGAGCCATATACTAAAGACTGCTATCTTAAAGGCTATGCAAAAGGTATACTTGAGAAAATGCGATTAGGACATAGTAGGAGTACATGTGGAAAGATATGCATAATCAAGACTCGATGTACAAGCTTTTTCCCAAAAAATAACTTAATGTGTTCTGAAAGTCTGCAGTGATATTTTTTTTTTAGACCATAAGTGGACAAAATATTTTCAGTTATGATTTTGTAAAGTAGCCCTACTCATCTGTTTAAAAACTGATGATAGCATTTCTTCAAGTTGGCTCAGCATTTGGACATATATAAACAAAATACTTTGCTGAGCTACAATTCTTTTCTGAAGCTGCTCAAACAAGAAGACATAAATGCGCAGGAACAGGGGAGAAGGAGGGTTTCCCAAGCATGTTCATATGATTCAAACAGATGAAATGGTTTTGAAAATAACTGGATGCTTATTCAATAAACCTGCAGGTTGCTTTGTTTTTTGTTTTTTTCCCTTAAGCTCAAACAGGAAGACAACACTTGAAATTTCAAAAGGAAGAGTTTTGGTTTTCTGGCACTGCCTGTTTTCTGGCAGATGTCAAGGTTCCAGGATAAGTGTGGGAATCTGTATGTTCAAAGACCCTAAATATAATATGCAGGAAGGCACTAGTAATGCCAGTTTTCCTTGGGCTGAAAAATGCCTGAATGCCACAGACTGATTTCCTTTAATCCTGAGCAATTTGGTTGATGCCTTTCCACAGGCTAAAGGTTTGTTTTTTGGTTTTTTTTTTTCACCTCTCAGCTGTTACTAGGCTGGAAGACTACTTCATTTGACTTTCTGCTGCCAGGACCACCCAGTTTGCTGATGTAAATGTTGTAGGCCATAAAGTGGGGTTGAGAGGGGTCAGGAAGTGTGCACCCATATAGATGGAAAGATGACAGAGGGACTTGATGGAACAAATATAGAAAAGCTGTCTCCTTAAGTAGGTGGTATACCCGAACAAAAACCTAGGCTGGAACAGATTTACTGAAAACAAAGTAGTTCTTTATAGGCTTAATTATTTCTGTGGGCTTAAAAATAAGGTTGGCTAGGAATACATGGTATCTGAGAATCTAAACCTGTAGGGATACTGTAAGGTTTCTGTTGTAGTACATTGTTATTATATCTTGCGTCTTTCATACGTGCATTATAGAGCAGCATCTTGAATGTAGATTTTTTTTTTTTGATTGCCACTGGAGTTGGCTGAAATTCTTTCTTCAGATGAGCTTCTCATCATGCTTTTTCTGTTGCTGTTGCAATTTGAATTCACTCATCTTGAACACAGAAAAAAGAAAAATTTTACAAGATAATAAACATAGTTTATTTCTAGCTGAGGTGCCGTTAAACATTGTTTGGTATGTGTTAGGACTGCGTAGGTCTTTCTGTTGGTTCCATCAATTCACCAACACGTAGACTTGCAAATACTAGTGGAACATGAGCTGTTATTATATCAGTCACTTCTAAAGTGTCTTACTAGCTTACAGTAGAAGTCTTTTATTAATTCTAAGTCCACAAAATTGTACTTTTAATTTCATCGTGTCACTATTAAACTGGCCTGCAAAGTCATCAAGTTAGATCATTCTGTATTCCTTTGCGTTGTTGATTTTTTGTCATATTCATGTATTTCTTTACTAGTATTGTGCTGGTTGAGGATGTAAAAATGTCATTGTTAAACAAGTTGACTTGGTTTTCGGTTGTTTGGTGTTTGGTGGCTTGGGTGTTTGGTTTTTGGTTTTTTTTCTTTCCTTGCCCCTGAAGGCCTGTCTTGAAGGAACTCCAGTAGTAATATTCAGTCTGCCTTGTGTTTCCTCTTTCATTGCTAGACTTTGACACCTCCCTTTTGAATTCCTAACTAATTTATTAATCCCAGTCTCTCTGATTTAATTAAGGAGATTCTGTTTTCCCATGTTATGCCTTAAGTGCTTTACCAAAGTTAATATCAGTCATGTCTTCTGTTTAAAAAAATATATTTTTTTTAATCATAGGAAGATACCTGTAATAAATGCATGCTGCATTTATCCTGTTTTTCATTTATCTGCATATCTTTAATATATTTTCTTAGATGTTTTTGCATAGGTTTTTGTCAGAATTCTGGAATGGAGATTATTTGGTCTCTTTGATTTATAACAGGGTTTTTAATGTACTACAAATGAAGAATTTATGCGGTGTGCTAGGAACAACTTTCTGTCAGTCATTCCGTAACTGGATCAATTTGTGAAAAAAACCTGAACAACTGACAGAAAAATCTGAATTATTGACAAGTATATATTACACATAGATATCT